GCGCTGTGCGTTGGCCATGCTCGTTGGGCGCTTGTGCTAGGCTTGGGTGTTCGTTGAGGCAATTCAACGAACACTTGGCATGCACCAAGTTGGAAAAGGAAGAAAGACCGTGGGATATGAGGGATAGGGCTGAAATCAATACAAGCTTCGATGGTGGCCACCACAAGCAAGAGTCCACCACCACAAATCCCAAGCTCAGTTGCATGACAATCGAGCCATAAAGCTTCGCCGATAGCCACCACGAGTAAGAGTCCACCACCACAAATTTTAGCCACCTTCCAATCTCAACCACCAACACATTCTTTGATCTCGCCGCCATTTAGCCATCTGCAATGTCTACCACCACCGAGCTCAGCCACCTTTCAATCAAGCACTGCCTTCCACTAAGTTAACTCAAAGCTGGAGACCTTGTCAACCACCCAAGAATCTTTCAAGGTGTTACTGATGATGTTGTTGTCTTCCCTGTTGAAGGCTCCTCTACACTTACTATTCAACATATATGAAGCTCCAATTTGCATGGCTATTGGAGACTTTTTGTTCCACGCATTTTGCCTGGGATGTGGCTTTGATGAGTTGAGTACTCATTTTGTTGGCTCAAACCCATGTGTTGGGTCTAAATTGTATTGATTTCAATACGCAACTCTTATGCTTATATAGTTTGAACATTGTTTTTTTCCAAAACTAAATGTTGTGGTTGAATTGCTATTGGACTTCCATTATGTGTGAAATTGGAAGTTGCTTGTTAATTCCTATGCAAAGGCCTAAAATCATTCCCAAGTTCGTACATGAAAGTCTCAACTTTGATGAATTGTTTGCGTATGTAACCTTAAGCCTATTTATTTTTCTTTTTTAATAGTTGACCATTTGAACTATACCATGCATCTTTATTAGAAATATAGATATTCCAATATGTATGATGTTTAGGCTTATGAATATTTGCATAGTGAGATGGATAGAGTATCTTGCACCAATGGCTAAGATTTGAAAGTAATTACAATTTGGTAAAGATTATTAGCATTTGTTGTAGAAAACAAACATTAGGAATTTCCATGTTCACCTAATTGTTTTCATGTCTCACTATGAGCATGTGTTGTTTTTTTTAACATAAAGTTTTACTTCATGAGGTAGCTATTTCGCTTTATGGTTGATATGATTTTCATGGGTTCCGGTGTATCCCATGAAATCAATTGACTTCTTCTTTAGTTTGGTTTATTTTGTTTGAAACTCTTACAAATGTCTACTTTTGACGCTAATGGCTTGTATTTATGTAACGCCCCGCTTGAGGTACGTACTTAAGATTCGTTGTATTACTTAAACGTTCATTGATTTAGCTTCAAATGAGTTTGTATGTTCTCATGGTTGATTGGTTGCTTTGAAATTGGTTGAAATTTGGTGAATTTTGGAAATCCAATCTTCACCGGGGCGAAGGAGAATCTTCGCCACGGCGATGAGGTGCTGCACCCACGGGTAGGTTCTACCGTGTTTCGTCGGGGCGACGAAAAGTTCTTCGCTGCGGCAAAAAGCCTAACAAAAAGTTTCTTGAGTTTTCTAGAGAATTCTTCCTTTGGGGCATAATGACCATTCTACCCCTAATTAGTAGGAATAGTGAGGAGTAAAATGTAAGGAAATTAAGTAGAGAATGTGTTGGTAATAAGGGTGTATTTGCAAAGAATCAAAGGATATGGATGGAATTTCCAAGGAAGAGCAAGGGCAAAATGGGAAATGATGGTTATAATATGAGTTAAAAAGAGTTAAAGTGTAGAGAAACCCTTTATTCATTCATTTCCACCGCCTCTTCCATTGTCTAATTTCTCTCAATCTCTCCATCCAATCTTCTAAGATTTCTAAGGAGTTTAGAGAGCTTTTGGGGAATTTTTGAGTAGAGATTTCATCTAAAGCATCCTAAGGTAAGGATTCATGCTTTAGATGTGAGTTTGCTTATAGTTATAGTGAAGTCTTATTTGGTTGTTATTGTTCTTGTTGTTGTTTTGAGTTGTAGAGAGGAGACAAGACAACAAAGGAAAGGAAAAGTGCTAGAGAAGTCACTTTTTCACAAGGTAAGTAAATCCAAACTAAATTGAGATTTAAGAATTTATTCGAGTAGAGATTGTGTATGTATTATGCTTGCTGAGAAATTGAGATGTTATGAATATTTATCTATGTTGATATGAATTTAATTGAGTTATGAGAAGTGTTGTGATTGCATTATGATGAGTTGAGTTTGATTGAAGTTGGAGGGAGTTTTGAGCAAACCCTATGGGAGTGTTTTGCCTTGACAGGAAATTAGAGTGTATGAGGGAGTTTTCCTCCCATTTTGGATGATTAAAGAGAAGAGTATAGTTATAGATAAGTAGAGCTTTGGTATGCACATAAGTTGTTTGAGGAAATGCCTAAGTGAAATCTACCCTGTCACAGCCGTGATTTTCTAGGTGAATTTTGGGCATCTTACGGATTGAACTGGGCTGAGACCAAAACATCAAAGTTGTAGCCCTATTTTTAAGCTTTAAAAAAAGACCAAAACCATAGCAATCCGATGTGTATAACGCAAGTTATACCCTTTTTAGTGCGACCTTTGCAGAATGACTGTTTTGATGCAATATTGCATTTGGCATTTTATAAGTGCATTAGTGAGCATGAGCTGTCCATACACATTATTTATGCACTTAAGAAGTAGCTTGAGAAATAGTAGAGAATGTGAGTATAAGCTACTTTAAGAGTAAAGAGAGAGAAAGAGAGAATGAGCACTAGAGAACGAAGAGAAAATAGAATAGAGTAGGTTATGCGATGGGGAACCTGTGAGTAATGGGTAGAGTTTCCCGCATGTACGCCGCATTGAGAGAGCGGCATGAGTATGAGAGAGAGAAAAGTGGTGTAGCCCGTGAGAGTGCATGCGGATGAGGGCTATACCCGAGAATACCTGAGAGAGAGATTATATACTCACATGGCCAAGGGTTCCGAATCCATGCATAACCGAGTCCGATCGGCTAGAATGAGTAGAAGTCACGTAGAGTGGGAGCGAGTCCCAACCGTGCCTCCGGTTGGATGAGGCTGTGACTACTAAAGAGAGTTAGTAGAAAAGAGTTATGAGAAAGAGAAAGTAGGGAGCAGTATAAATAGAGAGTAATTGAGAATTGTAAGGAAAGAATTAGAGAGAGATAGTTACGGGGATATATGCGTAGAGGATTTACTTACTGAGCATTAGTTGTGTTCATCCCGTTGTTTTTCATGTTTTGCAGGATCTAGGTGAGGACACGGTTGGATGGGCGTCGGCAAGCGAAGGGAAATGGCTATACTGTCCACCTTGTTTTGATGTTTTGTACATGATACAACTTTTTGTATTTAAAAATGTATATATTTAATAAAAGAAAAATTTGGGCCCAACCTTTTATACTACTTTATATGTATTTTATTATGTACATGTTTTATGAGTATTTGAGTAGAAAGCGGCTATTACAATTTATTTATTATTATTTTCCACTACTGTGGTGTGTAAAATTGTGAGACAAATCAAGAAATGTGATTTATCTTTTTTTTTTTTTTTTTTTGCACCCCAGGTCAAATTTTAGACTATGTGCTTCCATCCAAATGTCGATAAGTTTGGCAACATATGCCTTGACATCCTTCAGGTATTGTTCAACTTTTTGAAAAAGGTTGTAGTTGGAACTATGTGATAATAAACTCCATGAAAATGAGATAGGAGAAATCCCTCGGTCTGTTTCAGGGATTTTGGACAGATTACCTATGAAGGTCTTATGGACTTCTGTATCCTGATTTAAAACAATATCAGTGGGACATGAAAATTTTTTTTTTATCTTCATCACCTAGTATATTAGTGGTATTTTTTAATGTATTTTTTTGGTGGTTTTTTAATGTTAAATTGCCATGCAGCGTCTCTATAAAGCTCAAAGTAAAGGGTTTTGATTCCATTTGGAATTCGATTCTTGTCTCAAGAATATCGATATGTGGAATTCAGAATACACATAATTGTTGATACATATTACATCACGCAAGAGAGAAGTTTATCGATCTTTCACTTAATCAGACAAGTGAATAATTTTCTCTTGTAAATGCAGAATAAAGTCTACTGAATGTTGTAACTTGTTTCAATTAATTGAAAGGGGCTTGTTTTATATGCAACATTTAAAAATTGTTATTATTTGATGATTTTTATACTGAAGTTTTCTGGGTATTCTCTCCCACGATGGTGATTTATTGTGCCACCAAGGCAAGTGCATATTTATTCTAACAAGATGCAACCTTGTAAGATATTTAAATGTCATTTTTTTTAATGTTATTTATTACATTACATTATACTATCCTTTAGCTTTAGTTTTTCTTCTTGTAAATAATAGGAAGACATGGATGAGATGCTCTTGAAAATATAGGCTACTATTTGATTAATTTGGTAAAAAATTTGTACATGTCTAAGCACAGGCAGACATGGGGCCACTTCAAGAAACAGCCAAATAAACATTGAAGGCAAAATTTAGGTGAAACGAAACAAAAGGAATTTTTTTTTTGTTTTTTTGGGTAAAGGTAATTTTATAAATAAATGAAAGAATAAACACTAAGAAAGGGGTTCCCCTTAACTGTCAAATTCGTTGGACAAACCCAGCGAACAAATCACCACAAAAACATCAAAGAGAAACAAGGATACATTCCTAACAAATCAACCACCTAGCCCTCTGGGATTGCTAAACAAAAAGAAGACCAGCAAATGAAAAGGAACGCAAGTCTGGTGAAAGAAAAAAAAAATTGCAGCATAAGCTGTACACGAGGACAAACCACCCAAAAAACAAGATTCTTGGACACCGGAAATTGTAGAAATCCCACAGAGCTGCAGTAGCCAAAAAACACTAGCATAACATGTGTACCAACCAGCAACCACCCCACTCAACACAGCAGAAATCTGCAAATCTGTTAACACACCCCTGGTGCAAAATCTAAAGCTGTACAAAAATGATGGAGCTGCTAAGGTTGAAGAAACTAAGTATAGAAGCATGGTTGGATGTTTGTTGTACTTGACTGCAACAAGGCTTGACATTATGTATGCAGCAAGCTTACTCTCTAGGTTTATGAATGAACCAAGTGAGCTACATTTTCAAGCAACTAAAATAGTCCTTCGGTATGTTAGAGGATGTCTAGACCTGGGAATTTGGTTCAGGAAAGCTGAAAATCTCAGCTTGTATGGTTTCATCGATAGTGATTGGGGTGTGCTCCTTGGATGATATGAAAAGTACCTCTGGATATGTTTTTTTCTTGAATGCAGGTGCCATAAGCTGGATCTCAAAAAAGCAAGAAGTTGTGGCACAATCAACTGCAGAAGCTGAATATGTTGTTGCTGTTGTTGCTGCAGTTAACCAATTGACTTGGCTAGGATTTAAGGTTGGAACAGACTCAAGGTAATATGCTATATTGTGACAACCAATTGGCAATTGCTATGTCCAAGAATCCAGTTCTCCATGGTCGCACAAAGCACATCAGAATCAAATATCATGCAGTGAGAGAGGCAGAGCAAAATGGTGAGGTAAAACTGATTCATTGCAAGGGAGAAGAGCAAGTGGCTAATATAATGACCAAGTCCTTAGGCAGATCCAAGTTTGAAGAATTAGGATTCAGACCTGGAGTTTCCAGCAAAAATATCAAGGAGGAGTGTTAAAGTAAATGATATTTTGCTGGAAACTATTTTACAATTTAGTTTGAATGGTTGGGGCTAGATTTGAGCTAAAAGTGGGCTGTCTGTCAAGTGTAGTTTTTGGTTAATTTGGAAATGTAATCTGTGATGTTTTAGGTGAAGACAGCTGGTGATTTAGGCCAGAATATCTCAATGTAATTTGTACTCCCTCTGTTTGCTTTTAATTGACGTTTTAGTTGTGGGCACAGGTTTTAATAAAAATCAAAATTTCTCTCTCCCACCATTTTTTTCCTTGATTTTGCAGACAAGACAAAGGCATGAATGAAAGGCATGAGGAAAGGTGCAGACAAGACAAAGGCAGCGACTTTAATTTTGAAAATTTTAAAAAGTCTTAAAACGTCACTTAAAAGCAAACGGAGGGAGTATTAGTTAAGAGTGGTTTACATTGTATTGTATTTAAAAATTATTCTCACTGTAAAGTGGTTGGAACAGTGATGAAATATGTCCATATATCTCTCTGTTTATGAATGAAAAAGTACCTTTTTGAAAGAAGCTTACACTCTCATTGTTTTAGCTCTCTGTCGTGCACGAAAACCTTTCTTTCTCTTAGCTAATTTGAACTCTGAAAAACCTTCAAGCCCATCCAAAACAGCCGACATTACACCAGCATTTTCAGATCTTCACAAACCATATAATGTTCATAAGGCATCATCATCTATTTCAAAACACCAGATTAAGGACATTTATATCGCGCTTTGTGCTCTAAGAAAAGCCATGGTTGGACCCAGTGCACTGCTCCTCAGGGCCTTGTACGACCATCAACTGCTCCCTGAGCCCTCTTTTACACACTGATCATCAACATGAGATAGTTCTGCCTTCTTTGCACACAAAGCCTGGTTAATTTCTTCCCATGCATTCAATTTTCCATTTCCTACAAAGATAAAAATCAGATAATGAAAGTTCATTTAAGTTAATCATAAAGTATTCATGCCGAAACATAGAGATTGCATATAACAGATATAAAACATTATCCTACGAACACCAAGTACCTCTGTCTTTTCATTTTAGGCTTGTTCCCTCAACCATTGTCTCTTGGCCTTTTTACGACAAGCACTTCTACTTGGGAACTGACCACAAAAATGAATTTCAGGATTTAAAATTATTATTGTTCTTCAAAGAGAGAATGTGATCAACTAGCCAAATTATGTTGATAACGATAAAATCATAATGACATAACACATACACCAAGATAATGTTTTCTAATTCAAGTTCTGTGACTATATTCGTTGAAGTCTAAAAGTGAAGAACATGGATTAATATGACTAAAAATCGATCTTCTAAATAGCTAATATTGAGACCGGGATGTGAAGTGGCAAAAGAAAATGATTATGTTAATTATATAATTAGATCTTTACCAGTCTCTTTGAATCCTCGATATAAACCTATAGATGATTTTAAATTTTCAATAGCAATTCATGAGATTCCATAATTTAGATCCAAAAAAGATAATTGTCATTGTTTTTTTATCCCACAGGTTCTGCTTTTGTAGATTTATATAATAAATCTACAATATTACTGATAATGATTAGATATTAACTGAAGGTTAAATGAAAAATGATGGGAAATTAGGTTAGTCCAAAAAAGAAAAAACAAAAAAAAACTAAAGGAGATATGTTTATTCAAGAATGGATTCTATAACTTCTATGAAAAGAAACTAAGAGAAATGTATTAATAATAATTCAAAAAAGAATATAAAGCATAGACCATCTCAGTATATATGCAACCATACAAGACATAAAAAGCTATAAAAACTAATCAATAAAGGTGAAAATCATATCAACCATGAAAGGAGGTCTCCATAAACAATTCCTCAAAAATCTGAATATTAATACCAATCCAAGTTCAAATAGATCTTACATATACATCATGCATGCTTACTTCTACAATTTCACAAAAGAAAATACATAACTCAACAACAATATCAAAATCAATTAGCTTTACAAAACATTTGACAAGAAGGAAATTAGCTGGCTTCAAATCAGAGTGCACACTACGCTCCTCATGACTGGTGTTCATGGCTTCAAGAATTTGCTGCAAAGTGTTTCAACAAATATGGAGACCCTGTACTTCACATCAAAGAAAAAGGAAAGCATATTATATAATAGCAATTTCATAACTAATAAAATTAAAAATTAAAAAAAGAGCAGAGCCATATGCACTAGAATACGGGTATTAACTTTTACAACAAAGCTACGAACACCGAAAATTTTACACCGAAAATGTGTATCGACCTACGTGTAACACGCCTCTGATATTTTTTAACAATTTTTTTCTAGTGAACGGTCGTCTATCAAATTTGGATGGCCGTTCACTCACATGGACGCCCGTCCATATTATATGGACGGGCATCCATATACAAGGGACGGGCGTCCCCATTTAAAGGACGCCCGTCTATAAATAAAATATAAAATAAAATAAAAAAAAATTTGGGCACGGCCGTTCCTTACGTTTGGACGGGCGTCCATTCCATAAATTTTGGACGGCCGTCCCTTACGTTTGGACGGAATGGACGCCCGTCCCATTCCTAATGGACGCCCGTCCCATTCCTAATGGACGCCCGTCCATACTTTAAAAAAAAAAAAAAGAACATTTGGACGGGCGTCCATTCCTAATGGACGCCCGTCCATTATTTTGGTTTCTACAAATTAAAGAAAAACTTTGGATGGGACGGGCGTCCGTAAGGAATGGACGCCCGTCCATTACTTACGTTTTTAAAAATAAAACAACAACTTACAGTTTCACGCAAGGCTGATGGGTTTGAGATCATCAGCCAACTTTTTGACGTCCTCCAACCAGTCTAGTACGTTTGCATGCTGGTTGAAGTTTTGTAGCTTATCCTTATTCTCTTCATTGCTATTGACTTTCCTGAAAATCTTAAACTCTTGCCTCCATGGAATTACCTTTTTACAAAGGTCATTAGGATTTTTGAGGGACCTCAACCTGGAGAACAGCGTCTCCAGTTGCTCCAACTTGCTACGCAATTCTTGAACCATGATTAACTGCATGTCACACAAAAGAGAAGGATGAAACTGAGACTGAACCAGAGCTTGATCGTATTCATGGTCATGGATGCTTTAAAATATTCAAAACTTCTCGTTCTCTTACCCTAAATTAAAAATATAATTATAAACTTTTGCTAAAAGCATGGAAGATGTAGGACTCTTATCTGCATCTTCCATGCTTTTAGAAAAAAGACATAAAATAATTTAGGGTAAGAGAACGAGAAGGTTTTGACCATGACTGACGATAAGACCAAGCAGAAAGCCATTGAAGCTGCTGCTGATATCTTTGGTATATTTATCTTCCTCTACTGTTAACATTCTTCAACCAAAATCATCGACGTCTTGTTAAATATAAAAAATAAAAATAAAATTTTTGATTGGACCATTTGATGCATGAGGGTTTTTCTTCTTTCTTCTTTTAAATATATTTGAGCTGATTGGATATTCTGGAGTAGTCAATTATTTTTTTCACCTTTGAAATTATAATATCTATTTATTGGAAGTTGTACTTATAGCAGAAAGAGTTATGACTTTCACGAGTTGATTCAATTGCGGCTGATTTAAAAGACCAGAAGCTAACAGTGATAGGGCAGATGGATACTGTGGCAGTAGCGAAGAGGTTGAAGAAAATAGGAAAAGTGGACATTATCTCAGTTGGGCCAGGCAAAGAGGAGAAGAAACCAGGAGAAAAGAAAGAAGAGAAGAAAGAGGAGAAGAAACCAGAAGAAAAGAAAGAGGACAAAAAATGAAAAACCATAAGTGAATTTTTCGCTGTGATAATAATTATTGTAGCAAAATTTTCATTCATGCTTAGCAAATAATGTGATTAGATTTAAAATGGTTAGCAAGAATCGCCAGATTTGTCTCGTTGTAAACAATCAATATTAAAGCGAAGGAAGAAGAAGTTGTTTTTGTTTCCACGAGTTTCCTCATCTTGGTTCTTATTATTCCTTTACAGCTTAGAGGACATTGTCATGTTAGTCTAATTAAGCAGAAAAAAACAATAAACTGTTAGCACGCCCACAGATTCTGCTTCACCAGATATAATATACCATTTGAATGATACAAAAGTGTCACGAATTGCATCATTCTTCAAACATCTACATTTTATGTCTTTTTTCTAAAAGCATGGAAGATGCAGATAAGAGTCCTGCATCTTCCATGCTTTTAGCAAAAGTTTATAATTATATTTTTAATTTAGGGTAAGAGAACGAGAAGTTTTGAATATTTTAAAGCATCCATGACCATGAATACGATCAAGCTCTGGTTCAGTCTCAGTTTCATCCTTCTCTTTTGTGTGACATGCAGTTAATCATGGTTCAAGAATTGCGTAGCAAGTTGGAGCAACTGGAGACGCTGTTCTCCAGGTTGAGGTCCCTCAAAAATCCTAATGACCTTTGTAAAAAGGTAATTCCATGGAGGCAAGAGTTTAAGATTTTCGGGAAAGTCAATAGCAATGAAGAGAATAAGGATAAGCTACAAAACTTCAACCAGCATGCAAACGTACTAGACTGGTTGGAGGACGTCAAAAAGTTGGCTGATGATCTCAAACCCATCAGCCTTGCGTGAAACTGTAAGTTGTTGTTTTATTTTTAAAAACGTAAGTAATGGACGGGCGTCCATTCCTTACGGACGCCCGTCCCATCCAAAGTTTTTCTTTAATTTGTAGAAACCAAAATAATGGACGGGCGTCCATTCCAAACGTTCTTTTTTTTTTTTTTAAAGTATGGACGCCCGTTCAAACATAAGGGACGGGCGTCCATTAGGAATGGACGCCCGTCCAAACGTAAGGGACGGCCGTCCAAAATTTATGGACGGCCGTCCCCAAAGTTTTTTTTTTTTTTTAATTTTCATATTTTATTTGTGGACGGGCGTCCTTTAAATGGGGAGGCCCGTCCCTTGTATATGGACACCCGTCCATATAATATGGATATGCGTCCATGTGAGTGAACGGCCGTCCAAATTTGATGGACGGCCGTTCACTAAAAAAAAATTGTTAAAAAAATCAAAGACGTGTTACACGTAGGCCGATACACATTTTCGGTGTAAAATTTTCGGTGTCCGTAGCTTTGTTGTAACTTTTATTCTCTTGGTAAACTCTCGTTATTACAAATTAAAAACGTTAACTTTGGTCAAGGACTATGGCACCAGCATTTAGCAGTACATTTGCAACACAACAACAAGGAACACGAGTTTAAGATGATCCAAGTTCAAAGCAACTTCACTGAAAACTAACGTATATAATCATTTCAAGAAATATCTTTACATATCCAGATCCCGAGTTAATATGTAGGGATGTATCAATTATTTCTAAGCCACTAGACTATAGCACCAATAAATCATAACAAGTTGATAATAAAGGTAAATAAAAAACAAATCTGATTACAGAGCAGCAACAAACATGACAACGAAAACGTACCATTGGAATTTTATTTTGCTGGATATCTTGAACGGCATCCACTGAATGTGGAACCGCTTTCTTTCTCAGACTGTTACAAAAGAATAAATAAAAAAGACTAATTTTTTCTCCCTTCCACAGAAGAAAAATTAAACACAGAAACAGACCAGGTGATATCATAATCCTTCAAAATAGCAGTAGACTAAAAAGGTGGCAAAACAAAGCCATCCATCTGCAACAGAAAATAAAATAAAAGCATAAGAAAGTAGAAATTGAAATTGAAAAGAGAAATGAGGAAAGTGAGGGGAGGTTACAGAGAGGATGAGGCCATGAGGGGAAGAGTGTTGGAGGTGTAAAATGCGAAGGATATAATCGGAGAGATGAGAGATGGTTTTACGAGTGGTGGACTCCTGCTCGTGGTGGCCGCTGGCGAATCTTTATGGCTCGACTATTGTGCGACTAAGACCAGGATTCATGGTGGTGACTCCTGCTCGTGGTGGCCGCTGTTGAAGCTTTATGGCTCGGGCGTGATGGAGTTGAGACTGGGATGGAAGGTGGTGGCTAGGGTTTTTCAGACATGAAATTGAATATGGAAAGTTCTTGGTTCAAATGATTCAGAGGATATATGGTGTAAAAATGTGATGTGAAGGTAGCATTACTCTTCTTTGTATAGGAGTAAAGTAATGCTACACCAACATTACATTCTCACAAGCTTCTCTTATAACCCCGACGTGGCAGTTGAGTTAATATTGTTACGCCAGTTCCACCACACCCAAGGCGCAAAATAATTTTGACTGGACCAAAGAAACAATAGGGAACAACTGTTCCTTATGAAAGAATGGTCATTTCTCACAGAATGAATGGTTATTTCTTATGAAGGAATAACATTATTCCAAGAAGAATAAGAAAAAAAAAAAAAAACAACAACAACAACAACATTGTTCCTTCAGGAATAAGGTTATTCCAAGAAGAAGAAGAACGAAACTGAAGAAGGGAATTGATTGGAAAGAAACAAGGTAAGGAACAACGTTAAGGTTGTTCCTTAAGGAACATCCATTCTTTATGAAAGAATGGTCGTTTTCCTTATGAAGGAACAACCGCGTTCCTTCTAAAAGAACAACCGTTTGCTTCTCATAGTGCCTAGGGTGTCTTGGGTGTGGTGAGAGCTAACGTGACAGTGTCAATCTGCTGACACGTTAGGATTGTAAGAGAATGTTGTGAAATTATATTGTAAACATAGCATTTTTCGTCAGAGTAATGTTATGCCAACAACACACTCTCACAAACTTCTTTTACAACCCCAACGTGGTAGTTGAGTTGGCACTGTCACGTCAGTTCCACCATACCCAAGGCGCAAAATGATTTTGACTAAACCAAAGAAACAACCGTTCCTTCATAGGGAACGGTCATTCCTAATGAAAGAATGGTCGCTTCTCACAGAATGAATGATCGTTTCTTATGAAGGAACAAGAAATAACCATTCCTTTCGTAAGGAATGGTTGTTCCTGAAGGAACAACGTTGGAAGAAGAGGGAGAAGAATAAGAAGAAGGTTGTTCCAAGAAGAAGAAGAAGAAAGTTGTTCCAAAGAAGAAGGTTGTTCCAAAAAGAAGAAGAAGAACGAAATTGAAGAAGAAGAGCCAAGGGTGTTCCAAGAAAAAGAAGAAGAACGAAATTGAAGAAGGGAATTGATAAGAGAGAAACAAGGTAAGGAACAACTATGGTGGTTCCTTCAAGAACAAGGTTGTTCCTTCATAGGAGATGATCGTTCCTTTTGAAAGAATGACCGTTTGTTTCTCGTAGTGCCTTGGGTGTCTTAGGTGTGGTGGGAGCTGGCGTGACAATGCCAATCCGCTGACACGTTAGAGTTGTAAAAGAATGTTGTGAGATTATGTTGTAAACATAACGGTTTTCTTTGTGAGTAATAATTGTTTTTGATACTATTGTTAAGGAGGGTAATATTTTAGTAAAAAGAGTTTAATATTACCTTATATTAGATTTATTCAAATTACAAAACAATCGAATATTGTCAGAGTTATCTTATGATCTATTTTAAGAGTGATAAGGTTACCCTAAAAATGTACTAATCATTTATTTAAAATCATTTTGTTGAATCGATTGTAACGGGAAATTAATTTTGTAGTACGACATTTTTATAATTTGCAAAGCCAATGTTCTTACTTTGAAGTGGTAAAAATTAATCAATGACATTTCACAATACCAATTGTAACTCTAAGTTAATTTATTGATATGATATTTTTGTAATTTATAATATTTTGGTAACTTATAACTAGATTATAATAATTTTAATTTTTTCGTTAGGGGTCAGGTTATAGTAACTTAAAATTTTGATTTAAATTGAAACATAAATTTATGTTCGTAGATATATTGAAATCTAACGGATATGGCAAAGAAGTTCGGGGTAGTTATTTTCTTTACCATTTCATCAACTCTTAAACTATTGAATTGCAACGGATTAACGGTTGAAAATTTGTCAAAAATTTAAGTTGGTATAGCCTAACTTGTTAGTTATAATCAAGTATTTAAAGTTACTAAAAAAAAAAAAAAAAAAAAAATCATCGCATGTCATCAAAATAAAACACCAATACAATTTTCAAATGATATCTCAAAGTGATATACTTCCAATTACGATATTGACATATAAGTAATGTAGATGCAAAAAATCTACCGTCATGAAAATAGGGTGTGATCCCGTGAGGTTGAGGTCACTGACAATCCGTTAGACCTGCACACATGAAAGGGCAAGCGTGAAGCTTCCGGAAAACACCGAGGTGGTGTTTGCCGTAGGCACTCCGACGTTCAAGTCAGCAAGGCTGAAAGAGATTTAATAAGAATTAAGGAGAAGAAGAATTACCAGGAGTCTTGTCGGAGGCTAGGACTACGGCGGAGNAGAAAAGTGAAAAAAAAAGGGGTGAAGTGAAAAGAAAAATAAAAAAGGAGTGTAGTGACCATACCTCATCAAGCCTCTAATGAACAGCCTCCCGTGGTCCGATTGAGCTAAAATTTTATTAGCACATTCGTGGCTCAACCCTCTTTGTTCTGAATGGTGGAGAACATTGGAGATTGAATTTGGAGTAGATTTGCTGCAGTAAGTTACGCGCGAACAGTAACTCTGTTTGGTGAGATTTCTCCATTATCTTGAGAATAATTGTTAGTGTCCAAGAAAATTTGTTCTTGAGATTGATGTTGATTGTTTACCTCTACTTTTATCTAGAGAGAACCACCATTATACAATTGTTTCATTGATAGTGGAAATTTGGGTGACAGGGTGCCGTGGTTTTTTCTTTATGAAGATTTTCCACATAAAACTTGATTGTGTTGTTGTTAGTGTATATTTTACTTTGAACATTGAATTGCTTTCTCAGAGATTTACACAAAGAGGGAGAAAATTTGGGGTGCAAATGCAATAAAAATACCAGATTGTATTGAAAATTCATTAATGACAAAAAAAAAAAAAAACATTAAAAATCAATCTCAAACCAGATTGTATCACTTCAGAAAATCAAGTAATAAAACTCTAATTTTATAAGATTTACATCAATGCCACAACATTTTCTAAGTCAGCTGCAAGAAAGCAAATCGCATATTGTTGAACAAGTTTTAAAGTAGGTAAATCATTGGGAAAGGTCACGTTCTGAAGACGGAGAACCATTCTGGTAGAACTTGATTATGCAACCTGCTGAGGTGCAAATTTCTTGTAACTGATGATTGATCTCCTTTTGCTTCTCCAAATCTATGGCATAGTCCTCAAAACAAATGATTGCAACTCGCTCCAAAAGTCTTGCATTCTCAAGCACACATTTTATGAAACGATCGTCCATGACATCCAAATCAAAATATGAGATACTAACAGTTTTGAGGCGAGACGTTAAACAGAGCAGTAAATCTATCAAAAAGGAATGATATCTCGGTAGTAGAACCTGCATAAAAATTGCAGCAAATTTCATTACTTCCGAAAAGGAGGATATAGATTTTGGAAATTTTAATTTTTAAATAATTACATGAGGAATCTCAAGAGATTATAGATTAGGAGTTTGTTGAAGAATAGTCTTTAACACTTGATGATTTGTATAATCAATCTCCCCCCAAATCACTTTCAAATGAGTCAAGCAATGAAACACAGGAAGACTAAATTGGAAATTTTCTTCATAAGATAGATACTACTTGGCAAACACAAAAACAAAGAAAATTAATGAGATGAGCTGTTCATGTTATGTCTTCACAATGAACATAAATTAGCTAAAGAATGTTATCATACCTCAAGACTCAAGTATATCATTTGACAGAGTAAGAAATTTGACATGATGAATTCCCCGCATGAGTTTTATTGCATGTCGAGCCATAATTTCCTTAGCCCGCTGTTTCGAAATTTCTTCATCGATGTATGCTTAATTTAGTTCAGACAAATTAGATGGTAAAAGTTCTATTGCTGCACAATTTATGCATTTGAGAGAGCTCAAATTTTCTGCATAAATTTTTATAACATAATCCTCTGAAGGTTTAAAGAGGAAAGTTCGCGACAAACAACCAATGTCCTTAGAGTGCGAATAGATATGGTGATTTTCTTACGGTTATTCCAATTGTCTATGTTTAAAGCCAACTCCTGAAGGGCTGGACAACTAGAGAAAAGTTGTTCGAGAAGCTGAGCGGATAGATCACCTAGAACTCGTAAATGTAAAGTTTTAAGTTTTGGGACTTGTATGAATGTAGGAACATTGAAACTGAAATTCAATTTCAATATGCTGAGTGATTCGTAAGTGAAAAGGTTATCAGGCAACAATGGTGAAATAGGGAGAGAAAGATCAAGCTCTTGAACCTTAAGACTTACTACAACAGATACCCATGAGTTAAGACGAGATAGACCGATATTCTTATCCTTAAAAATGAGACTAAATTTTCTTATACATGGAGCACTATGAGGGAAAAGAATTGTTTCCAGAGAATGGAAAAAGTTTGTCTTCAAATCCGACCTCAACTGATATTTAGTCTCATCGAAAACAATATCAAAAATGGAGATTAGAAGAGATTTCCATCTTTTTGATAGTGCATAAATTCTAAGAACATCTTCAATTGAAAGAAAAGGAAAAATGATGTGGATGATACAGTCAGGTAATTCGCTAATTTTATCGTCTCTAGGACACAAATTTTGGGTTTGCCTGGTGAAAATTACTTTCTCTCGGTGATTTGATTATGCATAGGATTGAAGACTGATTCAGTCTTCTAAACCTTGTGAGAACAAATCACAAGTGAAACCCTAATCCTCCAGGATGTTTCAGCTAATTTCTTTCATTGTTATACACTTAATATAATTGTATTAAAAACAAAAATTGAAGAAGAAATCTCACCTTATTCACGAAGAAACAACTTGGATTTGACCTGCCCTTCTAGGATGAAAAAGAGACCACAATCTTGACTACTTCAAAGTTCTAGCTAGATGGGATTTAACAAGAAAAAATTGATGCAGAATTTGGATAGGCACTAGATATGCAGACACTAGAGTTGAATCGAAGACAAAGGTTTCCAAAGGAAAACTTTATAAATTTTATTGATGATATTGAAACATAACAACCCTACTTATAGTTGACTAACCCTAAAACAAATTAGACTCCTAATAGAATAAAATCAACTTGGAAAAAAGGATGAAAAATAGGAAAGCTTGTCCGACATCATAAACACAATATCGCGATATTAATACAAGAATAATCATAACAAAACAAGGTCACTGGAAGAAATCTTTCTTTAAAGCCATTTCTTGACCAATATTTATACCACAAGGTGAAACAAGACGACACTCAGTCTGCAATGCAGACTTCTCACTCTCCTTGTTCTCATGATGCAAATCACTATCACTAACACCATCACCATCTATATTACCTTCATTATTGTCATTACTGAAAGAGCAATACTATACCCACATCCTCTTCTAACAAACTTTCTCTAACAACCCCGACGTGACAACTCGCAATTGGTTAGCCACAATTTGTCAGGTGGAACTCGTTGCGAGTTGCCACGTCAGAGTTGTAAGAGAAAGTTTGTGTTAAGAGGTTGTAAGCATAATATTTTTATTACCAAAATACTTAAACCGTTTTACTAAAGGCCCATCAAGTTTCTGACGCTCACACAAATTACACCAGTGCCCGCTTCCAAACCACCATTTTAGTAAGAACCCATAAAAGAAAAAGGTTCCCCACCAACCAAGCAAAGAGAAAGTCGTTCAATGAAGGGTAGAAATTCTTCCGAGCTACAAAATAAACAAGAAAGGAAAAATTTTAAATGAAAATATCCCAAAGTCGCCACAGAGCCTTTGAGGGATAGGTATATTCCGCATACCGGGGTGATACCACTCCCCACCATAAATTATCAGTTTAGATCACCATTCACACTCGGAAGATCTCAACCCCATGATAAACTTCGGATTATGTTGATCGCTATGGCCTGGAGTCAGATTGTAAGAACTCCAATTGAGATTCTCTTCACCAGCCTTCGTTTTATCCTTCACTAGAGTGCAGCTCCAGAGTATATCTTGCAAATCAATATAAATATTTTGAGTTATACTCAAAGCTAGAGCAGTACAAGAGGAGGCTATGTCCCCCTCGTATTCTTATCATGGGCACCTTTTCCTGTTCAAAATCACCCTTCAAGTGCAAGAATGTACGAGAATGAAGAAAAGGAAGTCAGTCAGCAAATCTCTAAGTATGTGATAAAGCAAAAATAAATGTGTCAAAGGTCGTTTCTGCTTGGTTGATTCCACTAACAGTCTCCTTGTAATTTTCTCAAAGATTCTCTTTGTTTCTATGACTCGTCGAAACAGAACAGAGCAGAAGCCATGGCTTCTTCTTCAATCTCTTATTCTCTTTGTTTATTCAAAACCAAGTCAATTCTCACACCAGAACCCCACAAAAACCTCTCTTTCTTTTACAAACAAATCACTTTCCCCCACTCGTCTACCACTCTTTACCCTCCCCTCTCTTCTTTGCTCGTTCAAGGCTTGTTTCATCAGCCTGGAGAGGAGATTGTTAAGCTTTCTTTCTAGCTTCCATTCTAGAAATAATGGGTTAAAGTTGATGCAAAAGAATCTAACTTTGAAGGTTGATAGTAGTAAGAATGGAAAGAATGGAGAGGGCCGATAGAATCGGGGGTTGTAATCAGACTTAGAAGAAGTTATGTCTTATAGGTTCATTATATCCATCCCTAATTTTGTGTAATCTCTTGTTCTTTCAGCACATAATCTCATTACTTATATATTAGTGTCACATAAAACAGAATCATTGAAAACTATAATCAAGGAAAGCTCTTTGAAAAGTAGTATGATTGAATTTCTATAGAGTTTTGTACAATTCTACAACATTAAAGCATGTTCAAGAAGATGTTATCTTCATTATTTTGATGTTATCTTGTCAACATTATCGTCTGTTTAAAGTTGGCATATATTAATCCTCTTGCGAAGGCAGAAGTATGTGCAAATTCTATATCCCAGGGCCACGGCTAGTAACACCCAAACTTCTTGCAAACCACCCTTCAGGTTCACCGTGTTGAATGAAGGCGAGCTCTGCAAAGTTCAACATCTCCTTAAGCATTCGTACAATTGATCTCCGGAATATTGCACTTTCAGAAGATCTAAATCCATAGTACATGAAGGGCAAGTACTTCAACCACTACATAAATTTTGGTATTGCTGCAATCAAAACACGTATAAGTTCAGTCTTGAAAATGGATTATCATTCAATTGGCAATACTTCATGTCCTCAAGAAGAGATGCAGAGGCACTACAATTATCCTCCTGTATTTCCAAACAAAACTCAATTTGTCACAATCTATTTTGAAAGCTGTTTTAAGGATGAAGGTAGCCGATCCTTAAAACAACTTTCAATATATCATAAGAACTGAAAAAGCCATACCTAGATAGAGAATCTATTGTTGCAATATACACCTAGATAGAGAGGGCCGTGATAACCATACCTCCCAACATTCTATCTATCATAAAATAACTGAAAAAGTTAAATTCATACATAAAACATAATCAAATAAAAAGGGTTACCCACCAAGAATCTGAAAAAGAAACACAGTTATAACTGAAGGAAGAGAATCTCACTAATTAAGTGAAGAAAAAACAGAGCCAAGATTTGTAAGCAAGCCAGCAGTTGAATTCCCCTCTCAAAAATAACAATTTAACTAGGAAAGGTATAACTTTGATTGGGAAGGCACATAACCACAAAGGAAGAATGTAAAACCCCCTTTTTAATCCTCATATATATGGGATTATTGTTAGTTTTTAAAAGTTTTATTGGGAGTTAAAATGAAAGGAATGAGAGATTTTGGGTTTGCATGTAGGTAAGGGGAGAAATCTGGGCATTTTCAATAGAAGCTGATGTGGCGGGGTCATGGTGAGACTAAGAGAATTTTGGGGCAGTTTCATAATTTTAAGTAACTGTTTTATATATAAATTGGGCTTCGCCCAAAATGAAGAAGAGAGAAAAACACAAAAAGAAGAAAGGAAGAAGAAGACAAAAAAAGGGAAAAAGAGGAGAGGGAGGAATGGGTTTGGCCGAGAGGTAGAGTGAGAGTGAAAGTAAAACAAAAATGGAGGAGAAATTTTAAACACATCACTCCCATTAGGTTTCGGGTGTGGAAGAAAAGAGTGCTTGAGGCTTCAATTTTAGTTCGGCTGAGCTGAATTTGTGAGTGGCAAAAACCAAAACCTTTTTCTCAATATTCTAGCTTGCATGTGTTAATTGAGATGGACATTTAATTGGGTTTTGAAAATTGCTGAAATTAGTTGCTAATTTTGAGTTTTGTTTTGAAAATATGAGGAATTTTATATGCATGGAGATACATTGCATCCAAATGTTTGAATCACGGGTTGCATGCCATTTCTTTAAGATTATGGTTGAAATCCTTAAAATTTGCTTTTAAATTGAATAATCGGTATGTTTAGTACATGGGGTGAAATCTAAATTGGGAAGTGGATTAAACTAAAATTCTTCTTTAAAAACTTAAATTCATGTCTGTATGTTAGGTAAATGTGTCATATCATGCCGTCTGTTGCATCTTGCTGTTAAGTGCGAATTTCTTTGCTTGCATGTCCTCGGCTGAACATGGAATGAGTGAAACTGTCCCAGATCTGACTTCAATAAAGTTTATTTGTGTTGCATGTCACCAGATTTTCCTATAAACATAAGACTCATGTTTGCATGTTAATATTCTGTTCAGAATCTGGCTATTTTGTGAAGCTATTTAAAAATCTTTTCTCTTCATGCTTCGGCTAGGTTGTTACCAGTTTTGGTGTAAGTAAATAAATGGCGGTTGTGTTGCTGGATAATATACTTGGGTGTTTTTGGCTGGACAGTAGACTTGATGGTGTTGGAAGTATGCTTTAAATGAAATAAATAGCTTAATATTAGCTGCATGTACATATTTGATTTCAGCACCTTTTTACTGATGAAAAATCTGGAAAAAAAAAAAAAAAAAAAAGTAATCAATAAATGGGTGTGTTTATGATTCTTATTTGTCTTATTTATACACATATAACTCGGCTGAATTGGTCATATCAGTTAGAGAGGTGGGCAACATCATTCCCATCTCATCCTCCGGAAAATACATTGCATCTGGACATCCACCTATCTCCAGGATTGTAAGGCAGGTGAACTTGTGCAATCCCCACTCCTTTAGCGGCTTATAGATTTCGTGATTACTGGTAATTGTAAGAGATCTTAGGCTGGCAGGGAAACCTTCTACTGGAAACGGTTTGATTCTTGGACAACTCATTGATAATTCTTGGAGACAGCTGAGATTTTGAATACTTTAGGGCAGGTCTCTAAGTGTCTTACAAGGTTTGAAAACTGTACATATATCTGATAAAGATGGTTAAGATGTTCACATCCCAAGATAAATATTGTCCCAAGAGACGTTACTATCGAACCACTCTACTATCAACTCTGGCTTTGAGCAATCCCAAATATCAAGATGTGTAAGCGCCATGGGTAACTGGCCTCTTGGTGATATGCACATCAGAGGTGGACATTCTTTGATACACAAGTTCTCAAGAAGAAATGTAGAGGCACTACAGTTATCCTCTGTATCACCAAACAAAAACAGCAATTTCTCACAATCTTTTATTGAAAGCCATTTTAGAGATGGAGGTAGCTGACCTTTGACAATGAATGCAAGTGAATGACAACCTTCAATATGCAGCCTTTCAAGACAAGAATTATCATGCTTCATTCCCTTAGGTTCACTTAGACTCAGCAAAAAACCGTCCTCTGGAAAAGAAACAAGAGTTGGGCTATCTTGAATGCATAGTGTTTTGAGGCAGCTGCAGCTATGCAACCCTTGTGGAGGCTTCTTAAGAGAAGTCTCAGTCTGCCGCAAATACATGAGTTTCTCACAATTACCGACTCTGAAACGTGTCCTAAAGTCCTAAGTTGTTTGCACTGGAAGGCTGAAGCACAAAACCACCAAAACTATTTATTTTATATGTTATTTCAGATAAAATTATTATTATATATGTATGATATATGATAAAATTATTATTATTNATTTTATGATAGTTATTACATATTTGAAGTTTAAGAACTTATGAATATGTCGTAGGGACAAAAATTGCTGAATGATGAGTGACGCAGGCAAGACTGCAAGTATTTGTTTTTCACTATTCATTAATTGCTTTCATTTCAAATTGAAAGTTAAAAAAAAATCCTTAAAAATATTTCTAAGAACATGATAAAGTTATCAACGCAAAAAACATATAAATTAAAATAACTACCAACACTTTGAACAAAAATAATAATAATAATAAACTACAAAACAATCTCATATTTAAAATCCGCTCTTTATTGTTCATTCTCAAAAATATTTGTGAAAAATAAGAATATAAAGTTAATTTTAATAATTTAACATAAGAGTACATTTATCCTCGAAAAATTTAATAAAAAGTAGGGTTTCTTTAATCTATTAGTGATGCCAATAGATCCACTCTAATTTTGTAGCTGGCCCAAACCAGTGAACCTTGTAATCCTCAAAACTTCTACTTGAATGGCTTACCCATTTGCTTTCAAATTCGTAGTCTTATCACAAAATAATAAATAAAATCACCCATTTCTCAATAACCTAATACTGCTGTTTTCAAGCGGCGTTCTACCAGAGAGTAATATGTGAC